GAGACCCTGTCTCTAAATAAAATACAAAACAGGGCTGGGGATGTGCCCCCTGAGTTCAATCCCTGGTACCAAAAAACAAGCAAACAAACAAACAAATGTATAGGATGTGCCTAATAAGCAGTTTTGACATGTCTCTTTTAGAGTTTAATTCTCCTACTCTTTTCCCTCTTCTCTTTGGCTCACACATTTCCACTTCCTATCAAACATTGTTTCATTCCCACACCCCCCTCTCCTTACACACACATACATACACACTTCTTTTCTCATGCTATCATAATATCTATGATAAAGCAATGTTAATTTTTGGAAATGAAAAGAATTTATTTAAAATGTATGATATTTTATATGTTGTGTAAGTTTTCAAGATTCTTTGACATGTTAGAGTATTTAATATATTAAAAATATATTAAAAAATATATCAGAAAAAAAGTTGAGTTTTTGGGAATTCTCATACTCCTAATATGAAGTGGAAAATTAAAATTTTTGAGGGATTTAGGAAGTATATAGAAAGACAAATGTGACTATTCCTGACTCAACTTTTGACCTTGTATTTATGTCCTCAAAGTTATAACATCACATTTTAAATGGACACTCAGAATGGATTTCCCATTTTGTGAAAATAGTTTTTTCTGGGCATTGCTTTTCTTGCTGTAGTCACAATACTATTTTCTCTCTTTTCTTGTGCTTTCCATGTTACTTACCTTGACAAACCAGTTCATATGCCAGAAGGTATTTGGGGAGTAATTTGCTGATGTATATATTTTAGGGCAGTCATATGTTGAGTAAGCACAAATCTGTAGAATCACCCAACTGTAGATTTTGGTCCTAGTCTGACCAACTGCTAGTTGTTAACCTGGAAGTTTCTCTAATGTCTCCAAGTCTGTGTTCATTCATTTATAAAAACCAGTGGAAAGATCCTCATGGTCCTTGTATATACTGCATAAAATAACTCTTGCAAAAATTATTTGCATTGTGCCTGACACAATAAGCACTATAATTGTATTATATCTTTTAACACCTTAAATGAAATTAAGTATTAAAATAAAGAGGAATCTTTTATCATAACTAAGTAAAACTTTCTTTTCTAAGATCCTGCAAGAGCCATGGTCCTTTCTATTCCCTTTTTTGTGGAGCTAATACTTAACTAAAATTGTAGTAAAATCATACAAGAACATAGGACAGGAATACAAAGCAGTGATCCTATGATAATTTCAATACCAACCAACAAATTGATAACATGCAGGAGAGAAAAGCAAGAGAATTAGGCCATAGGTCATCTGACTTTTAGAAATATTTTAACCTAATGGGCATTGTTTTCTTCCTTTCTATGTTCTATAGTTAAAGTTCTAAAATTTTGTTTTGGTACCGGGGATTGAACCCAGGAAACTTAACCATTGAGCCATATCCCCAGCCCTTTTATTTTTTTTATTTTGACTTCGAGTCTCACTAAGTTGCTGAAGCTGGCCTCAAACTTTGGATCCTTCTGCCTCAGCATCCTGAGTCACTGAGATTATAGGCGTGTACTGCTACACCCAGTTGAAAACTCATTTATTCTTAAACTCAGTTTTACCTTTGAGCAAACTTCTCAAAAGAATGACTGCCAAGATACTTTTAGCTTGTTTTCTCACATGCATTTCTCATTATCTTCTTTAAAACTCCTCTCCAAAAAACATCCTAGGGACGACTGTAATTAGGCTAATTGTGTGCACCCATATGTGCAGCTTATGGAATAGCAGAGAGCAGTCATAGCAAGAACATGGCACAATCTGCCTCCAGCAGGAGCAGCTCTAGAGCTCTCAGGGCTGGCCACACAAGCAGGCTTGGGCTAACAGCTGTGATGAACAGAACGGCAGAACGTCAGCCCCATAGTTCATTTGGTGTGAAAATAAATTGACAGTTATCTATAGGGAATAATTAATGTAACATTGTAGAAAAGTAAACACATTTTGCACCCTTCGAGAAACTGTTAAAATGAAAAAAAGGATGGAAGATGAAGGATCTTCTTACTGATAGCAAAGACTTGGTGAGAAACAGATGTCAGTGACTGTGTAAAACTGTGCTGCAGAGGGTTTGGAGAGTTCATCAACTCTGACAATAGAGTGGAAGAGTTAAAAATTATACATGGAAACCAACCCATCCTCAGGGTAACTGTGAAGATGATATCACATAGTTCAGTTAATAATGTGAAAATTTGTGATGATCCCATGTAATTCTGTTTTGCCAGTTTCCTAAGTTAAAAATAAAAACGTTTGAAAAAAGTAGGGAGGGTAATAAGAAAGGAAGGAATAAAGGAAGTTGTAGCTGGGTGTGGTGGTGCGCTGTAATCCCAACATCTTGGGAGACTTAGGCAGGTGGATCACAAGCTCAAAGCCAGCCTCAGCAACTTAGCGAGACCCTGGCTGAATTTTTTTTTTTTTTAAAGGTAGTAGTTCAGGGTAAAGTTCCACTAGGTTCAATCTTCTGTACTGGAAAAAAATAATTAAATAAAGGAAAAAAGGCAAATATGTATATAATAATTCCAAGTAAGCATGAGGCTGATTTTTCTACATTGGTACTATAATTTATTCATTATTAATCTCACATGCTCTAATGTCTGGTTCGACACATCAGATTATTTTGGAATGGTGTGATACAAAAGGAGTGAACTCAGACATATGGTTTGTTTTAAACCATTATCACATGAGTGCATCCATATGTGTACCTTATGGCACCTAGTTGCTTTTGTATTATATGTTTGATCATCAGGATTGTATCTTTGAACAACTCATGACTTGATTAAACACCAATTCATTTCTAAATGCTTATCATTAATAAGTATCATTAAGCTAGTGGGAAGTTAAACTAAGATAATTTTATTTCTGATACAGACACACATTAGTACTGCTTCAAATTGCATCTGAAATATCCTGCTCAGATCATCTCTACAACTTTCTGTTCTGCTGAAGCGTGTTGACACATGCCTATAAGACCAGTTTTCTGGAGAGCTGAGAGCTGGAGGATTGCAAATTTGAGGCCTGTTTCAGTCCCATATTTTTCAACCTTTAGCGAGACCTTGTCTCAAAATAAATAAAATAAAAGGGCTAGGGATGTAACCCAGTGGTAAAGCACCCCTGAGTGTAATCCCTGGTATTGAACAAACAAACAAAACAACTTTCTTATCTGAACACCTTTACTTCCACTGGAAGATATTTTTCTTCTTTGAGACAGTGGAATAAATTAGGGGAGATTTCCTTTTGTACACATGTGAATTTTACTCTTCATCTTAACGTGGATAACGTGGAAACCTGCCTGATTTTCTAGAATAATTGTGTGAGTTCTTTAAGTAGTCATATCATTATTTGAATTCATTCAACCATCAACTCTCTTTGGCATCTCTGAATCTGTGTCATTCAAAAAAAGCTAAGGAGTTATTAGCCATGACATGGCTTTCTTTACAATGCTAACTAATCATGAGTCCAACATATATTATCACATCAGGGCTTTTATTTTCTTCAGTAGTGTGATTTTCAGCAAAGGTAGTAGGCATCTATGATATGAGCAAATTGGAGAATGCACGCAATTCAAATTACAAGAGAACTTCTTGTATGCCAATCATTTTATTTCAGGCATAAATAGGTTTATTGAGCTTGGTGAAAAATCTGGTATAGTAAACATTCAAAAATGACTTTATGAAAGATCATCTACTGTGTGGTGCCATGATTCATAAAATATGGTTCTCCTTTGGTAGTATTGATGAGAAGGAAATTCTGTATACTGAAGAAGGAAAAGGTGTTTGCTTTAGTTAATACAGATAAAATATGCTGCATACATGAATTCAAGGGTGATTCTATGACAAACTAACAAGATAAGGAAGAGGAAAGTGGAGTGAGTTCACATTTCATGGCACTAAAGTGTGAGATAGAGTCTAGATTTGAGACTGAACTGCATGGGCCACATTCCCTGTTGATGACTCCTCTCAAGTTGATGATTGTGAAAACCTACATTTTACAAAGAATTATCTACAATGTGGAGTGAAGCAAAAGTCTCTTTGTGTACCTTTGAGAAATTTCTGGAGAGGATATCAGAAAAAACTTTATAATGGGCCATCAATGAGATCCAAAGGAGATGGAACTGGATTATAAAGAATTGAAATTGTACTAAGTGTATGAGCTTGGGAATTTACTTGGCACTATAGACTTCCTGTCTAGATGACTCTAATTTTGTGTTATAACCTAAGTGTTCTTTTGAGTACACATAATAGCTTAAATTATTAGTGTTTTAAATTCAGAAGAATGATACATTGGTTTCAGCTAGAGTTATCAGCGCAAATGAGTCTAGTTCATTGGAAAATTTATATGCATTTTAGGAACCAGTAGATTATTTCATCAGTGAAGTTCCAATTGTACACTTTTTTTAGCTAGTGACTTGGTATGAGTTTTAATGATTTGCGTAGAGAAGCAATATACTAACTGTGTTCTGACAGGTTGGCTAGGAAGTACTATGTAGAAATTCCAGGACAAATGGGAAGTAGGGAGAGGGAGACCAGTTACTAGACTTACAGTGATCCGACTTGCTATCCCTTCTATAATGATCAAGGCATGACTTGGCAAACACTTGGACCAGGGAATGGCAAGGAAGTGGGAGAAGTGCTAGAACTTGGTAATTTTGAATATGTGTTATAACAATCGTTAACATTTATATTGTATTTATCTGGCAATATGTGGATTCTTTTACGGTATCATTTCATCACAACCATTTTAAGAAGTATAGGTTCTAATACCATTATAAGTTAAATAATTTTCTTAAGCTCTCATAGTTAACAATTATCAGAACTAAAATTCAAACCTGGAATCTGAACTCACGCCACACAGAGGATACGGGCTTATCAGAGGCTAAAATAAAAAGTGATGTTAGTATTTCTAGATAGAACACAGATGCCCATGAGGAGACTGGATTAATGTTGTTCCTTGGCATAAGTATAATGCAATCTTTCTCTTTTTCCTTTTTGTCACTTTTTTTAGTGAGACTTCATGACAGCATATCGGAAGAGGGCTTCCATTACTTGGTGTTTGATTTGTAAGTACTTATTATATGGTGGGTCTTTTTTTTTTTTTTGCTATTATTTTAATTGAACAAGGTTTTTATTATTATACAGTTTAAATTAATGTCTACTATAATACTTTTAAATGTTTTTCAAATAACATTCAACTCTAATTCTTTTGAAAAGAGGTGACTACCCAGTAGAATTTTATTTAAATTAATCTTCATAAGCAAAAGTTTAAAGTCTTTCCCTTTGCATTTTCCATTGTGATATCACATGTAATTTTTGGTTTTACCTTGGGGTACAAAACTAGCTGACAAGAGCAAAATTTTCAATTGATTTTTTAAAAAGTGTTTGTGGGATTTATCAAATGTAAAAAGAAGACTCAAAGAAGAAACTGGGATTATCAAGGTTGATTTAAATTAATCAGGATTTTAAAACCAAGGTTATAACAATAAGGATAAAGGGAAAATATTGATTCCTGGAAGAATAAGGTTAAACAGGTCACACATTTTAACTGGCTGGTAGGAGTTTAATAAGAACACACTTTCTGAAAATCAGTTTGTGATTCTATTTATCAAGAGATCTAAAAATGTCCATATCATTTGGCATAGTAATTTCACTTTGAGAAGAGTACATGGAAAATATAACCTAAATCCAGGTCAAGTTTTATGCTGAAAGATGTTCATTGATTCCATCCTCTAAAGGAGGGAGGAACAGAAAAGAAATAAGACAAATTAATAACAGAAATAAGTATATAATTATAGTACATTCATACAATGGACTGCTGTCTAACATTTTAATGTTATATTTGCAGGAGTTTTGGGATATAGCTAAGAAAAATTATTTCAAATAATATGAGTCTATATCAATGTTATTTCTCTTTGGATGTGTTAAAGATTTTTCCTTTGTCCTTGGTTTTCAGATGTTTGACTATTATGTGTCTTGGCATGTATTTCTTAAGAATTTATATTTGAGTTTAACCTCTTAAATATGGGTTTATGACTGCAAACTTTTTATACATTGCCTTCTTGAATACTTACTTTCTCAACACAACTTCTTTGTCCTTACTTTTAAAACTCTGATGAAATGAATGTTGGATTTTGTTGTTATAGTTGTAGTCTCATAGGTTTCTGAGGCTCTGTCCATGTGTCTCTCCTGGTACACTTTCCTCTGTTTGTTCAGATTGGATCATTTATGTTGTTCTTTCTTCAAGTTTGATTGAATCTTTCTTCTGTTTTTCCATTCTGCTATTGAACCTATCTATTCAGATTTTTTATTTCAATTATTATATTTTTTAGTTCTATAATAATTTCCTTTTGGTTCTTCTTTGCTAATACTTTTTTTCCCCACATTTGTTTCAACTGTGTTCATGGTTGCTCATGAAAGCTATCTTTTTCTTCTTTTTTTTCAAAAATGCTAAGGATTTAACCCAGAGTCTCACACATACTAAGCAAGCACTTTCCACTGGGCGATAACCTTAGCCCTATGAAAGCATTTTTATTTGGCTGATTTAAAATCCTTGTCAGATAATTCCAATAGCATTGTCATCTTGGTTTTGTTGTCTACTGATTGTCTTCTCATTCAAATTTAGATTTCCTGGTTCTTTGAGTGATTTTGGATTATATCCTGGACATTTGGGCATTATTTTATAGAATTCTATATTTAATTAAATCTTCTTTTTAGCAAGCCTTTTCTGATTCCACACCAGCAGGATTAAAGAGGTGTTACCTTATTACTGATTCATAATGATGACACCCAAGTAGTTCCCTATTCTGCTTTAACTAACACCCCTTGGGTGTGTCTCCTTATAGCAAAGGAATTGTTTGTTTGCTTAACCACTAAGCAACATACCCTGCCCTTTTTAAATTTTTTTATTTTAAGACAGGGTTTCACTAAGTTACTCAGGGCCTTGCTAAGTTGGTGAGGCTGGATTTGAACTCTTATGATCCTCCTGCCTCAGTCTCCTAAGCCACTGTTTTTATAGGCATGCACCACCATGCCTAGTCTTGTTATTTCTTAATAGATTTAATCACTCAGATATCCTTTGTTATGTAAATCAAGGTATAGTGTTGTAAACTGAGATATGTACTTCAGGCTGTGATGAATGTTGGATTGAAAACACTTATGCTAATTCTCACTACTGAGTACTATAATCTGAATTTGATTTGATCACAGCTCTGTCTGGGTAGGAACAACTATCTTTTTTATATCATTTCCTGGGAGCATGTGAATTAGAATAAAAAAAAGGGAGATTAACAAGGTAAAGCACACTAAATTTTTATTAATTTTTTTTTCTGTGGGAGTTAATAGAAAAGAAGTGAAACTCAAAGAAGCAGTTAGATTCAGGGACTTATATACCCTTTTATTGAAGGAACAAACATGGACTTCAAAAGACTAAACAATAGAGAAATGCTAGATGCTGTGACAGATGCCAGTACTTCCAGCTGCTTGGAATGATGAGGCAGGATGATCACAAGTTTGGAGCCAGCCTGGGCAACTTAGTGAGACCCTGTCTCAAAAGAAAATAAAAAGGGATGGGAATGTAGTTCAGTGGTAGAGCACTTGCCTAGCATATTGAGACTGTCGGTTCAAATCCTAGTACAGAGAGGAAAGAAGGAAAGAAAGGAAAAAAGGGAGGGAGGGAGGGAGGGAAGGAAGGAAGGAAGGAAGGAAGGAAGGAAGGAAGGAAGGAAGGAAGGTAGGTCGCTTTATATGTAAATTCATCTTGCTATCAAATCCATGTTCTGTGAAAGTCCTCCTTACTGGTACAGGGATGTGGGGTGGGGTGGAGAGGGAATGCCTTCCTCAGAGAGAAATTTGTTTCCTGATAAGGCAGATAAGGGGCAGGCAGAGAACTCTTCAGCATCTGTTGATTCTCAGTTACCTCTAGCTCTAAATAATCCCTATGCCAAAGTGGCATATTTGGGGTGGCATATTCTGATTCTCTTCTGCTGCAAGAAGCACTGCAGTATTAGGTCAAATGCTCTGCCATGCCCCTTTCCTACAGTCATCAAACGATTTATATCTATCCTTTGTATTTTATGGATTTCTATATTTCTTACTAAATTAAGGGAATATTAAGAATTACATAGTAGAATGTATTTTCTTATGCATGATTTTTCAACTTCAATATAATTGGTGAAGAACGTATAAAGAAAGCAGTTTACATGAAAGCAAAATAATACAGGGAATTATGTCTATAACAGTGATGATTGTTTGTGGTAAGTGTGAAGAGACCTCTAAGGTTAAAATTTTACATAAAACCATGGTAATTTGAAATATACTATGTCAGGCAGCTGAATCTTTGCATCTAGAATGAAGAGCTCAGACCTCTCTTGAATTATTTTTTAGTAAAGTTTAAGATGTGGGTTTCTGTAGTTCTCTTCAAAATGCTTTGTCAGTAAATGATTAGTGACCTGGTTAAACACTGGGTGTTCAATCAAACACCCAGCCTTAGAGGCAGTTGAAAAGCAATGTTTAAAGGACTGATTTTTAACAGTTACAAAGAGAGTATAAATAAATTATAAATAAATATATTATTCCTCAAAATTCTGTCATCAAGTAAGAGGACCTCTAAGTAGCTCTAGAAAAACAAATATTTTAAATATAGTTTAGAAAATGATGGTCTTAAAGAATGAAATACTCATGGGAAAATCAGAAGACACTTAGCCAATCAGTTTCAAGATAAAGCATCTACTTGAATTCCTAAAGAAGGAATGTGCCCTGTGCTCCTCATTCTGAACTGGTTTTGGCAGTGTGGTACTTGTGCATACTTTCCCCTGGAATGTCAACTATTCTGAATCTAATGGGAAGTTCTATTTTTATTAGGTGCATTTAGTCATCTTCTAATGGAATACTTTTCACTTTGTAAAAAGCAAAACAAAGAAGGACATGAGTTCTATGGAAAAAAAATAGTTTCTTCTTGCTGTTTTAAAGGTATATATTTTATTCAGATATTTCACTACCATTTCCAACTAGAAAGTGTTTGTTCTACTTTTTTTTGCAAATAGAGTTGGAATCAGTGGGAAAGGCCTGCATGAAAGCAAAGACATCTTCACATCACATAATGAACTGCCCTGCCTTGTTGAATCATCCTAGGGTATATGTCTAGCAGGGGATGTGAATTTATTTGAAAACTAAGGAAAGACCAGAAAGTCCAGAAATGGAGTGAGATTATAGTCCCAAAGGAAGAAGCCTTCAGGCAAACTTTTGGCCTTTGGCAGGTGAGGCAGATCCTGTTCATTTCAAGGGCTGATGAGAAACAGTGCTTTGACAAGGCAGTTACCTGAATATATATGTGTTGGCATGGAAAACCCATTTTCCCACTGCACATCTTAGGATCATTGGGTGGGGTCCTGTAAATTAGACTGAAAGAAGAAGGTTTAAAAAGAGAGAGAGAGAAAACAAACAAAACACAGAAGTATATTAACATGTTCATCATGTACATCACATACAGGAGTCACCCAAAGGAGTCAGGGAGAACTTGGGCTTATCTAGCATCTTAACAAAAGAAGGATACATTTTTAGGGAAGTGACAAAACAAAGGAAAAGTTTACTGGCAGAAAATTATGGAAAGGTCACTACAAGAGGGGAACTAATAGAAGATTAGGGCTGGTGTTAGTAAGTGGTGTCCTGTAGATTCCTGTGGTGCAAGGTCTAGGTTTTCCTTAGTGATCAAAATATGTTCTCACTAGGTGGGACAACTTGACAAATTTATGTCTTTCTTTTGGGCAAAAAGGGAAGACAGAGACTTCTCAGTATGCATTTTTTTTTTCTCAGTTGCCTTCATCTGAAAATGATTCTTATGAAAAAGTGGCATATTTGGGGGTGGTATGTTTTGCCATCCTTCACTGGTGACATGCATTTCCAGAATCTGCATGTCAGAGATCTGTACTATGTGTATATTGATTGAGTACATATAATGAAATATAGATTTATCACAGCACTCTCTAAGCAATAGGGTAAATGTATAAGAGAATGGCACAGGTTGGACTCATGTAATCTCCATAGGGAACTAATGTGGGTAGGTTAA